TATATATATATATATATATAGATTTTTCCATCTGGTGTGGGTGAGTGATAGTCTACTTTGATTTTGGTTAAGGTGGATTATCACTTACAGTGTAATCAGTGAGGGGATTCTACAGACTGTTGAGGATTCAGCCTCCTGATGAGTCGGTGAAACTCCGACGAAACAGTTTGTCACAGCCCCTCGTTTGTTGTCCTCTTCTCCCTCTCTGCCTACGGTTTACCGGGCAGTTCTATTTGACGATATATATATATTTTTTTTCTTTTTTTTTTTTCTTTTTGGCCCGGCCGCGCAAGTGGACCCTAGCCACTCTGGTAGCCTAGGTTGTGTTTGCTTTTGCAATATGGATGTATAGCGTACCCGTATGAGACGTTAGAAACGGTTTACGTAGTTTGGATTTTTTTTTTTTCTTGAATTCTAAAGTGCGACCGCCTTGACACAAATCATTGCCGTATTGACACTGCTTACATAATTTGGAGCTTAGAGTTAGTTGTGCGGCTGATTCTATCAGGATTCGACTGTTTATCAACAGTTCATCGGGGTACGTACCATTCAGCCACATGGGCGTGGTATGTGTCTTTGTTTTCTGTGTTTCCTTTTCCTCTTTTTTTTCTCACTTGTTCTTTTTCTTTCCAAGCATGCTCCTCCTCCCTGTGTGCTTCTGTCTCTCTTTCCGGACTTGAAAGGTAGCCGGTATGCTATGATGCCATTTGTGATGAGTGTGCGTTGTGTTCGGGGGAAGAAGGTAGTCTAATTGGTTGGTGTAATAAGTAAATGTGATTGTCGTTCCTTCCTGCTGCCGGTGCTTTTTTTTTTACAAATGTGACAGGAAACATTTAGGATTCGTGAAATCTCCAAATGGTTTGCGACGGCGAATCTGCAAGCGGCAGCTGTTCCGCGAGCTTTGGAAGTTTGTCGCCACATGGCACACAATCAGTCAATGTTGAGAGGTCCACAAGTGCCCCACCAGCTCCTGAAGAGTCCTCAACTTGTATGCGTTCGGCGAGTTCCACAGAGTCTTTTGGGTTCACAGAATGGGGCACAAGGGCCACAGAATGGATCACAAGGTCCACAGAGAGGACCAAAGGTGATGACTGCTGTATTAAAGAAGCCTCTGCATGCATGTTCTCCTTATTGCTGCACTTGGTTCCAAAAGGGCCGTCTACGCCTTTGCGTTCGCAGAACGGACTTAAGGTCCACAGAACGGACCAAGGTGATGGCCCGTATATCAAAATTCTCTGCATGCATGTTCTCCTTATTGCTGTGCTCCGTTCCACAAGGGCTGTCTATCTAAACTTGTGTATAGACAGAGTTGACCACAGCGTCCACAGAATGCACCGCCGGGTCCACAGAGTGAATCCGAAGGTCCAGATAATGGATCACCGGGTGCACAGAATGGGCCAGAGGTGATGGCGGCTATAAAAAACCCTTTGAACTTTTGCTCTCCTGATTGCTGCACATGGTGCCGAGAGGGCCGTCCACTGACACTGTAAGTAACCAGTAGCTTTGTAGTATGTTCACCTGTGTAGTGCATGCATGGGAACGTTTGGACATGGTTGATGTCTTTGGAGGAACAGTCCATGATGCTCTTTAAAAGGTCAAGTATATGGGAGTGCATTCCATGATTGATGCTCGGGAGGAATGATCCATGATGGTCTTGGAATGGTGGTTAAGTAGATGGGAGTGTATTCCATGATTGATGCTCGGGGCCTTCCCATCCTCTTTTCTCTTGATTGCCAATCCGTCCGATCCTTCCCCTGCCTGCAATCCTTTCTTTCTGGTTGTTCCCTCATCGCGTACTCCCCACCCACCCTACTCGACTTCACGATCCCCTCTTTTTTGTCCATGTTTTGAAAGACCACTTCAATTGTTTCAACTATTGGATGTTCCACAGTAGGAATGGTGCCTTGACTATTTGACAAGAATAGTATGTGAGGGATTGATTGGTCTTTAGAAGAAAGCAGATCAGCACAGATGCGTAAAAACCATGTTGTAGGGAAGCAGTGGTCTTTAGAAGAAAGCAGATCAGCACAGATGCGTAAAAACCATGTTGTAGGGAAGCAGTAGGTCCAGATGAAAGAGTAGGGGGGGTGGTGTTTGGGTACCGATGTGACATGCATGCTTCTCTCCGGTATGATTTTGATGATCTGCATGAGATCACATGTTTTGGACAAGAACAGAATGTGAGGGATTGACTAGTCCTCTTTGGAAGAAAGGAGATCTGCACACGCGCAATGTAGAAAGAAAGATCTGCACACACACAATGGTTGTATGAAGCAGTAGGTCCAGATGGAAAACTACGGGGAGTGTTGGGTGCTAATGTGATGTGCATGCTTTGGCCCGGCATGATCTGGATCACTGTAGGAGATCAGATTTCCAATGATTATGCTCTTTTTTCTTGAAGGAGTTAGATGCTTTTGTTGTTTGCCGCCAACGCTTGAGGCAGTGTCAAATTAATGAATCAGTTAGTGATGTGGCAGTGGTGTCTGTGGGTGCGGTCCTTGGAGTACATTTGAATTTAACTCTCCTCTGCAATTTTGATGGTCAGCGATCAGTGATTGGTTGATTGATTGATTAGGAGTGTTTGATTGTTTGATTGATTGATTGATTGATTGATTGATTGATGATCAGTGATTGGTTGATTGATTGATGAGCAGTGAATGGTTGGGTTTGGTGGTGAATGGCGAATTGATCGGCAGACAGTTTGACGTGGTTGTGGATGTTGCGAGATGGACAGATTGATCAGCATTGACTGACCGGTGGATGGGTATGGGTGTACGAACTGTGGCGCTGACAGCCTGACGGGCATCACCGAATGGGCAGGCAATGGAACTTGTTGATCGACGAGGAGTCAATCATCTTCTGGCTGTGGCTCTCTCTTGGAGAAGGGGTGCTTCTTATCAGCTGCCTGCTTCTAAAGAGATTTCATTCATTCCCTCTTCTGCTTGTGTGCAGACTCTCCTCGAGTACGTAACTTTGCATCAGTTCGCACAGCTGACCAAGGTACGGGATGCTGATTCTGCTGCGTCCCGATCAGCAGAGTTGTCGAGAGGCTGGGGTGATCCTGCTCCCAACAGAAACACACTGGGTATGTTTACATATATCTCTCCTTGTTTCGATGGAATTCTGAGTGTTTAAGCCATTTTGAGTCTCACTTTCTTTTCTTGTAACTGCACCCAACAATGGATCGAAATAGAAGGCAAACGGACCGATTGGAGTTGGCGCTTGGCTTGTGGCGTGGGGAGCTTGTGCCATGGGGAGCTTGCGGCGCAGGGATCTCTCCTTGGACAGGATGTGGGGAGGGAGATGAGGTGAACAGTTGAAAACGGTGTGGTGTGCAGATTTGAGAAAATAAAGTAGATTGCCAGTCTGACCTTGTTTTCCCAAAGCTGTGCACAACAAGTCTTTACCCGCTCTCCCTCTTCTTATCCTGTTCAGTGAGATTTTGCACTAGCGCCGACAAGTCTCTTCGCCTTCCGTTTTGATATATTTGTCAATCTCTCTAGGGGCCGTTTGGGGCCCTGTGCAACAAGGTGGTCCCATATCCAACACCAACACTATGTACATTGCCGGCTTGCATCTGCTCCCCAACTCAATTCTATTCATCGGGGCGCTTGTTCTACCACTGCCTGAGGTTATGTGCGTCGGGAGTCGGGGCACAAGACAAGGTTGGACCCTGTAGAGTGCAGCAGCAGTTGCGAAATGAGCCTGATTTTTGCCTCTTGGTGGGCTCTTCAAGTGTCGTGATGGCGATCCGATTGTGGAGGTCGTGGGATGTGGTCTTCATGTTTGGTGGCCATGATAATCCTTCTCCAGCCTGCTGATCGGACTGCCATGCCAACCCTATGTATAGCCTGGCAATCCAGGCAAGGCGTGTGGAAGGGGGACGTTAGGGGGAGGAGGAGAGAGGGGGGTTGGTTTAAAGCACCAGTACATGGGCACCTGGCCCGCAGGTCTGACACCTCAAATTCTGGAGGCGTGAAACAAAAATGCGGCCGCCGATCAAATTTATCAACGGCGGGCCCAGCATTTGACGTTTCGGCCTTCTCTTTTTGTGGCGACAAGTTTCCGACTGCAAGGCTGGGGCTGTGTACTTGTGGTTTAAGTTGGGCCCATAGTGGGTTGTATATAATCGTTTCAGTGCTGTCCCATCAAGCAAGCCGGTGAATTTCAAACCACCTTCGTTTCCCGTGTTGTGCAATGTTTCTGGCTATGATCTGTAGGTGTTCTGTGCATTCTGAAATATTCCAGGCATCGCATTTGGGTCTCCAGCTGTCGACATTGTTTCTCCGTTGTGGGGGGAAATCCAAAACCCGGATAGAATCTTGCAATGAAATGGTGTGTGTGTGTGTGTGTTTTGCATCTTCTCATGGTCGCAGGTGCACATCTGCATGCGACAAGGGGCACCAAATTCCTATGTTGGTCTATGAGTGGACTTCAAAGGCTGTACAACAGCATCAAGGATTGCCCCACTTTTTGAAACAAGTAAAAGCCTACTATTATGATCCTCTGCTTATTAATCAGTGAGCCAAAAATGCTTCAAACTGAGGGTGGTTCAAACTCTGGTTACGCCTTGCACTGCCAGGGGTTTCCTTGCCTTTTCTCTGAACATGAAAGTCAAAGAAGAGGAGAGGGCAAAAAGTAGTAGAACGAAGCTATAGAGCAGGTGCATCGCGAATTACCGAATTCAAATGCGAAGGAATGGTGATTGAGAGGCGTATGGTTGGTGAAGAGTTACAAGGCAAAAAAAAAGAGAAAAAAATCAGTGCACTCTGGCAGATCTGATTCTGCTCCCCTCAACAAGCAGTTTGGTGGGATGAGACCTTGCTGAAGACCCACCTCTGTGTTGGATTGTGGATGGATGGAGTGTGCATCTTTTCGCCACCAAGAACGAGTGTGTCCTCTCCTCTTTAGACCCACCCGTACATATTGCGAGCCACAAATGAGCCTCTCCGAAAAGAGCAGGGACTTGGGACAGGCCCTGCCTGGGGATGCGCGGTAAATGTTTTTTGTTCAGTGCTGCGCCCGGTCTCAATCAAAGGCATGGGAGAGTTGTTTTTTCCCACCCACCTCCAGGTCGGCCTGTCCCAACCCTCGGAAATGTTTGGAGAGGCTCATTCATGATTTTCAACTTGTCTGGGGCCATGTACTGGTTGTTGGCTTGACATTGATTGATTGATGTGAACGTTAGGTGAGCTGATTGATTACCCCAGTGGGGCTTGATTACCTACACATTCGATCGACTCTCTGGCTCAGTTGGCTTGACATTGATTGACTGATTGATTGATTGGTTGATTGATTCAGTGACTGATTGGTTTATTTTTTGACTTGTTCACTGATTGATTCATGGATTGATTGATGGATTGATGGATTGACTGATTGTTTGATGGGTTGGTTGGTTGGTTGGTTGGCTGGTTGGTTGGTTGGTTGGTTGGTTGTTTGGTTGGTTCATGTATCGATTGATTGTGTGAGTGACATGTTGGTTGGTTGGTTGATCTGTTAACTGGTTGATTGATTGATGCGCTTGTTGATTGATTGAACTATTTTGGAGTTCATCCGTTGGTGTTCATTCACCAAGCAAGTAACAACTGTCTTCTGGGTGGTTACTTTGTGTGTTTTCTTACAGATAGTCAAAAGGACAAACAGGGGGAGAGATTGGGAGGAGAGAAGGAAAGCGTGGAGGAGAGGAGCAAAGAAACTGACGTAGAGGAGCCATGTGTAAAGGACTTGAAAACAGATACAGCAAAGCTGAACTTATGTGAGGAAAAAGTGCAAGGAGCAGGAACAGGAGAGGTGTGTAATCAATCCTAACCAGCTGCAAATGCAGGGACACGTGGGCTGGACATCTAACAGCTGGGATTATGTTGCTGAATGACTGTGTGCTCTGACATTTTGTTAGATTCGTGCTTGCAGATACCCTTTTCTCGTACACTTCTGGAGCCAGGAAGATTGTCACGGTTGGCCGGTCCTGCCTGGGGGTTCTGACGCCCGGAGTACCTGCGATGGGGAAAAAGTTCAAAAAACGTTTTTTTTTTTTTTTTTTTTGCTTTTCTGTGGTCTCCCAGAGGACCCCATGCGGGCTCTTTTTTTTTTGAGAGAGTTGGCTGTCAAGGGGGGGTGAAGGGGGTATGAATTGGTTTTAAAGGGGCTAAAGGGGTTTACACGGGGTTCCCTTATTGTGATCCTGTTATTTTCTGTTTTATCTCCGATTCTGTGGGGAATTCTGATGTGCCCTCAGCTAAGTCGTTTGTATTGCAATCCTACACAACATAGTTTTTTTTCGGAATTTTTTTATGTTTTTTTTTTTTTTTTAAGCGCTAGGGCCGCCCGGAACCCTGCTCGGAGGTCATGCCCGACTGGGCACCCACGCGTGTACCCGGGCATAAGTTGGGTGCCTGGATGCCCGGAAAAACAGCCTAGTTCTGGAGTTGATTTCCCTCTGTTGCATGGCTACGATCCGGACCACTGGACAGGGATCCGGACCGTCCGTGGTCCGGGTCCGGATGTGTGGGCCCCAGCCCAACGGGCAAAATTTTTTTGTGTGGTCCAGGGCGTTTGTTCACGCCCTGGGCTGCCCCAAAAAAATGGTGCCTGATTTTTTATTCCCCTCGCCAACGATCCTGCGGCGCAAGTGTGCGGTGCACCCGGAGCAGTGCGGTTGTCACCGATGCGCAAAAAAAAGAAAAGAAAAAGTCGCTGTTATGTGTGAGGACACGAGAGAGAGAGAGAGAGAGAGAGAGAGAGAGAGAGAGAGAGAGAGAGAGAGAGAGAGAGAGAGCAAACAAATGGCTCCTTATAATTTATTAGAAACACAGGACACACCTTTCCTTCCTACAAGGTTTACCTATTGGCGGGGAGGATCGTAGACAACGACTTGGAAGAAGAGGAAATATCTTTAGCGGACCTGTGGAGGAGAGCGACTCTCTGGGTAATATGGAAAGCGAGATGCAAGGGTACGTTAGATAATCAATTTCCCAGCTTGGAGGAGAGGTGGATGAAAGTCCATAATACAAACAGAGATAAGGGCTCGGTGGAGTAGAGAGCAAAAAGAACAACAGAAAATAATCCAACCAGAGAAGCGAGATCTGAGTCAGAAAAAAATCGAGAAAATCTGTCTTAACTGGAATGGTATTGCAAAAATACAGAAGGGCTGGTTACATTTCAAAAACTGGGATTAACAAGAAAAAGAACACAGAGAAGGGAGGAAACGAAAAGGTACCATTCAGTTTAAAAAGCGGGATTAAACAGATCAGAAACGGGCAGAGACCTCAAAGCCGTGCGCCCCCCTCCTCCACATCCCCTTCCCAGATAACCTCTTACCACCTCTCCCCCTGACTAACTCCTCTAATCTGCGGCGAGGAACCGATAAGGATGGAGTCACTACGAGTCATCTGTAAAGGAAGAAGCGGTAGAATCATTGAAGGCCAGACTAACCGCCGAGAGAAGAAGCAGACGCAGTTGGAAGTCTTCGTTGCGAGCCGAAATTCCTGGCAGATGGCAGATACAGAAGTACTCGGTCTTCGTTGCAAGCCGAAATTCCTGGCAGATGGCAGATACAGAAGTACTCGGTCNAGCCGAAATTCCTGGCAGATGGCAGATACAGAAGTACTCGGTCTTCGTTGCAAGCCGAAATTCCTGGCAGATGGCAGATACAGAAGTACTCGGTCAGAAGAAGGTGAGGTTCAGCAAGACAAAGCCAGAAGGAGCCCCATCAGATTGAGGCGAGTGGAAGAGGAAAAAAAATGAAAGGGACACCGGCAGCACAAGCCGAGAGGAAAGAGTAAAGCAGTGCAAGCTGACAGTTACGCCTCCAGAAGACTGGTAGATCTAGGGAACAGAGCTGAGAAAAAAGAGTAAGGCAGTGGAAGCTAACTTCTAGCGGATCTGGTTGGTAGCTGACAAAGGGGCATGGCAGATGGGGCACGGTCTACGATGGAAAGATTGGCATAATTCGGTCAAGTTGGTACCCTAGCAGAACACCCAGGTACTTGAGGAACCAGCCCCGATCTGAGCCTAGAAGAGTACCCAAGGCACACGCGTGACAGGCGGCAGACGAGGTTGCACAGGGAACACATGGAAGAGGATTAATCTTCTTTAGGGTGTAGGGTTTAGGGCTGAGGGTTTAGACAGAAACAAGACAGCAGGGGTTAGAATGCTAAGGATTGTACGACGCTTATTTGAGGGGCTTAGGAGCTTAGGGCCTAGACAGCATTGGCAGCAGTCGTAGCTTCTCAGACCTTTCTGGTTGTGCAAGTTTTATCTGACAGGCTCTTATAGTAGTCGTGAGAGGAAAGGGGCAAGCAGGGCAAGCTGACAGTCAATCCTCCACGTTGCTGGAGCAATCAATGCTGATCAGGGTTCCTTCGGCCAGACGGAAGGAAGCGTGTGGGTGTCCTATATTGTAATATTTTCCTGAGTTGCCGGTGGAATAGGAACCGGACTGATGCTCCCCAGAATGGAAATGGAGCCAGGGCCATAAGGATCTGTTTGAAAAAAAAAAAGACAACCCCTGCAGATAATTAGCAAGGGCCTTCTCACCATGAACTAAGTAGTACTCATAGCCATGCTAGGGTCATGGCACGCCAAGTATATGTGCTGTGGATTCACATGAAGGTCCGTGTTTCAGAAGTATGGGACCACTGAGCACGCGAGTTTCTGGGTAGTAGCAGGCCAACTCACCACGTGCTTTGTCTCTTGTGCGAGTAGTGACGAGTGGAGCAAGGCCCTTAGGGCCGCTGCTCGTAGGAAAACGAAAGAAAAGAAAAGAGAGAGCTACGGTAGCAAGTAGTTGTAACTTGTGACCCATAACTGCTGGAAAGCAGACCTGACTTCGGATCCAGAACATATATTGCTGGCCTGCTCCGCTCTCACACGAAATTTGCCGAACGTCTCTTGAGATATTGGACCCTTGCAGATGCACTGCTGGGGTCCTTCGGGAAAAATACTATTCAATAAGTAATACGTGGGCCCAATTTTCTTTTCCTGTGTTCCGCTGTCGTCCTCCTCCTCTCTTCTTGTCTTCCTCCTCCTCGTCTCCTCCCCCTCCTCCTCCTCCTTTTTGGGTTATTTATTTTTTATTTGGTCCACTTCCCCATTAATGCGTGTCATCTTGGTGCAGGGGCCATGCTAATCTTGCCCTTGGGACATTTGTTCACATTGGAAGGAGAAGATTAGCATGGCCCCTGCACATGGATAACACACTTTAACTGAGAAGTAGGAGGAGGAGTAGAGGTAGTGTTTTTTTTTGTTTTTGTTTTTTTTGGGGGGGGGGGGGGGGGGGGGGGGGACAGTATAGGGGATCCAGACCAGGGGTCCGGACCGGTCCGGAAATTCCGGAATATTCCGGTTTTCCGGAAGTCTGGATGGGCCCGGGAGGTCTGGGGTCCGGAATCGGTCCGGGGTCCGGTCCGGCGTAGCCATGCTCTGTTGTGACTTTCGGGGTGGAGGGTGTGGAAATTCTTGTTGTTGTCACCACAGAAGTAGTGGTGCATGTGGCCTTAAATATGTGACAGTCCTAGCTAAGTCGGGGTGGGGGGCTACTGTCTGTGAGGTCTCTCTCGCGGGCAGCGAAGTTCTTCACTTACTGCAGGTCTTGTCCAGTGGCTCATGTCTTATCCGGTCTCTTGGTCTCGTCCAATGGATGCATGCCACCTGTTGTCCTCCTGCTCCTTGTGCACTTCTTGTTGCTATACTGCTACAGCTGTGACACATGGATGTGGTCATCCTTTCCGGTACCATGCCATGTTGGGCTGCACATGATTAAACCACCAGTTCCCCCGACGTTGAAAATTAGACTTCATGGGCCTCACTGAGTGGGTTTTTGGGGGGGCGCCGATCGACAGGCTCAGGCGGGTCCAGTCCTGCAAACGCCAACTTTGGCAATTTTTGGTGCTCGGAAGAATTGACCAAAAAAATCGGAAATTTTGGTGTCTTATAGATCAGGATATGATCTTTCCAGGAAAAATATCAGAAAAATGAAAAAAAAAAAAATCCTTAGACGGTTAGACCGTGAAATACATGCCACGCCAACGAGGCCTTAATCTGATTCCTCGTCACAGGATATGTGTCTAGCTTTTCCAATAGGCACGAAGTGTTGATTCGATCAAAGCATTTCGCAATGTCGGCGTCAAACACTAGCCAGAGCTTCCATGGCATCTTGACAACTACGCCCTGGCCTAAATCCATAAGAGTGAGGTTCAAAACGGACTTCCCATTCGGGTTCTAGAACCATTTTAGCTAATGCCTGTTTAGATCGATCCGCAAGAAAAAGGAAGTGGTTCCGTCCCGTCCAAGTTTGGCTATCGAACTTCAGTGTTCGATTCCAAATTCTTTTCATTTTCTAGTTTTGCCACTCTACAATATGTGGGCCAACAGGAAAGGTACCCTAGTTTCAGCAATTTTTCATGCTCAGAACTTCAGAAGGATATGTAAAAAAGATTGAAAATTGGACGATCCGTAGATTTGGTCGTGATCTTTCCAGGAAAAATATTTCCAAAATTAAAAAAATCGTTTCAACCTCTTTGGAGCAGAGTATGCCTAGGGCCAAGAAGAAAAATCAGTATGTCTTAAACTGGCACTAGATTTCAGTGTTGGGAAAAGGGGGAATATAACTATACTGCATTCCTCGTGGACCGTGCCCAATGATGGCCGCTGGTGATAAATTTCATAGGCAGCCACCGTTTTGTTTCGGCCTTTAAATCACCCCTCTACCTGCCTTCAGAACTTTGGGGGACCCGTAGGCTGTTTTTTCAAATAGGCATGTGGCCTACCAGTAGGTCTGTGGGGCCTGGCCTGGGTCACAGAGTTACAAAAATGGAAATATGCTGAATCGGCGCTGTGAGAAAAATGGTTTTTCGACTGAGTGAGGACGACGCCCTGCCCGGCCGGTTGCACCCGGGGGGGCTGCCCGGGTAAACCAGGCAGGCCAAAAAACCGCCCAGAATTTTTTTTTTTTTTTTTTTTTGAAAAAGGGTCGTTCTGCGCTCGGCGAGAGGACCCCATCCGCAATAAAAATTTGGTTTTGGAGGATGGGTGGTGGGGTTGGTCTGGGTGGGGGGTCGTGGGGTTGGGGGGATGTCTGGGGGTTGGGGGCTCTGCATGTATGTTGCCTACTGTATGCTGAATGTATGTCATCTGGATGGAGCGAGGTGGGGAGGGATGGCGAGATGGGAGAATGGAGGGATGGAGGAAGGCTGCGAACCAACATTGAAGAATAACTAGAAGAAGATGGATGGATGGATGGATGGAAGGGGGGGAGGGATGGGAGGATGGAGGGACACTGCTTAACAACGTCCAAGAAGAAAAAGAAAAAGAAAAAGGAGAAGAAGAAGACACAGATGGA